ACCAACGAATTAAAATCTAATATTCTTTCATGAAAGAAAGTATGATGTTAACCATTCTTTCATTTTTTGTTTGTTTTAGAACAAGGGAAATTTTCACGAAAACTATTGCCCCCCAGTGGTACATCGGTTTGCTGGTGGACTTACAACGTTAGAATCCGGGTTTCGATACCTTGGTGGGCAAAGCACAGATGTCCCATTGTTTTGCTTTGTGCTTAACTTCAAAGAAACATACATGAAAATTATTAAACATCACAATAAAATATATTATATATATTGTGAACCCATGTATTACATAAAACGTTACCAAGTAAAAAAATAAGACTTTTATTTTACAAATAACATTAATAACAACTTCTGGTCAGAGTAATTTATGTACTTAGACCGAAAGTAAAAACAACCAGGCCATCTGGTAGCTAATTAAATACACTTTTCTTACGTATCAAAGATTAGGTTAGTCCTAAGTACAAATTCTAAGTTTACAATGAATATTAATATTAAAAGTATGATAACGATCAAACTTGTACCATAGATTTGGGCTTCTGGGCAATAATATTTCCACGGTAGTGATAACTCTCACTGTAGATTTGTGGTATAAGGTCAAAATTCATATGTAAATCAAGAGTAAAATTACGGTCCTTAGTATTAAATTTTATCGTCAAGTAGACCTCGTGATCGCCCTGTAAAGAGAATAAATGATTGTTAGGATAACTGCTGTAATAATTTCTCTGTACTGTTCTATGATTAAAGTTATTTAATATATTTCTATATTCTCGAGTATATAAGAAACCATAAAATACAAAGAATAATTCATGAGATTATTTAGTTATTGTCTGGGAACTTTTCGCAGTCTAAAGTTTGCTTATACTCTCAAATAAACATACCTCCAATTTAAAGGCTTAACTTTGTGAATATTAACAGGAGTATCAGGAGAAAATGTGTCCCTATAGCGCAGTGGATAGCGCGTTGGATTTCTAATCCAAAAGTACCGGGTTTGTTCCCCGGTAGGGATGTCACCACCATTGCCTGGTCCCAAGTCCAGGATGAGAAAGGAGGAGGGTTGGGCACGGGGATAGCAACTCCGCCCCCTAAAAACCAACCTGCTAAAAAATTACAACAACAACTTCCGTCGGCGAAGTGTTGATGGGGCACTATGCTCCAGTGGGAGTCTACAGGGATTATTATTATTATATTACCAGGAGAAAATATTATCGGTATCCCAAAGTAAGGTAACTTTGCTTCTGATTTTCTGCAATATCTTGAAAGGTTTAAAACTCCGTGTGATTTTCGGCGGTTTGATACAGCTATAAACAAATTTACACTTTAGATGAACTTATACTCTATAAAAGTTCTAAGATTGCTCGAAGCCTGCTTCAAACTTTAAACAATATTATTATTATTTTGCCCTGTAATTAAATTCACGCGCCCTTAATTGTAATATAGAACTAGCCGGTTGAAAAACTTAATGAATGTGCATCTTAAATTTTGCTGAGTCCCCATTTCAGTTAAATCAAACACTAGGCAGTTTACTAATGGTGTCTTTATACCAGTACTTACTTAATTCCATGACAGGTGCTCACAGCTACCCAAGATCTCTCAACACCTCGTACTTTTCCGTGATAGTAGCAATGACGTCTCATCTGAAATTAACCAATCATATTATAATATTGTTATGACGTCAAATTCATATTTGAGCAGTCGCAATGATCAGACACTACCTGTGTGATATTCTGTAACCAGATAAATTGTTTTAGGCACAAAAATCTTTATATGTCAACCTCAAGATTAAGATAATTAGGATGAAGTAAAAAGTTTTTTTTTACGAAGACTGTGTATCAATAATTCCAAATAGAGAAACAGTATCGTTATGAAAGTCTAAAGTGTAAGACCTTAATGTCCGGCATGGCCAGGTGGTTAGGGAGCTCGACTCGCAATTTGCGGGTTCGAATCCCTCGTCTCACCAAGCATGCTCGTCCTTTCAACCGTGGGGGAGTTATATTGTGACGGTCAGTCCTACTATTCTTGGCAAAAGTGTAGCCCAAGAGTTTGATACAGTCTTACACTACAAAATTAGGGACGGCTAGCGCAGATGGTCCTCGTGGAGCTTTGCTCGAAATTATAAAAAACAACAATAAGATCTTAATAAGATTGTGGCGATTACTTCTTTGGTAAGTTTTAAAATAAAGACGACTGGCATTTCAGATTGCACTTAGTACATCGTCAACGAGTTCTACTGAATAAAGTGTACATCATAAAATTGTATATTATTATTATTATTTTATACAAAGATGGATTAAGTATAAACTGAAATAATTGTGTAAATAAATGTTATTAATCGCATCAGTCGTCTTTATTTTAGTTTTAAAGCGCAATGGTTATTTTCATTATTTTATTTTTCAAAACAAGTCTGTCGTGAAGTGTGTGAAATATTTCAAATAGAACTTAAAAAGGTCCGATTTCTTAAACCTCCTGATCATAACCTTTGACCCACATAGAATTACCACGTTCAGAAGTGATACAATGAGACTTTTTCCTAACAGTTCTGAATCTAGTATAGTGATAACATGTATGACTAATTAGATAAAACGAGCGATTACGTGTTAACGCAGCTGTACCAAGTGTCATGCATGGTGTGACGTAACTTTGAAAGCGATATCTCCCAACTGGAAAGCGACGGATGTTTTTTGCTTCAAAGCCAAGTGATTTCTTTAATCACAGCGTTAACAACTTGACTGTAAGATGGAAAAGCATCATCGATAAGAATGGAGACTGTTTTGTTTTGATATACAAGTTGTTCCGGTTTTTTCATCTAAAAAAAGCGACATTAATTTCTTGACGACCTAATATTTAAAAAAAAACATGGTTCAGTAGCGCCTACAAATATAGGTGTAAGTAACCTGTGTTCTAGCACACGACTGTGTATATATACATATATAAATTTTAATTATGCCTGGACAAAGAAAAAAAGTAAACTGTTTCAGACAACAGTTATGAAAAAATTATCAGTATTTGTAATAACCGCATTATTATGAAGCAGAAGTAAATCTCCTGATACAGTCTAAATTTACTTTTGTTTAAAGTAAAGAGTTCAAACACACAATACGAGAAGAATAAACAAAAAGGTGAAATCCCAAACGAAGAATCGATGTCTTTTTTAACACCTTCCATATTTGCATACGATGGTGTTGCAGCGACCGAAAAAGATTTTAATCTGATGGTGCTATATCTGGAGAATATGATGGGTGGGGTAGAACTTCCCAACCCAACTCCATAATCTTGTGTAGCGTCAAACGTGCCACATGTGGGCATGCATTGTCGTGGAGAAGAAGAACACCTTTCCGATTGACAAGTGAATTGCGTTTCTGATGAAGGGCTTGATTTAAAGTCCCAATTGCTGACTATAGATATCTGCATTGACAGTTCGCTGTGGATTGAGGAGTTAGAAATGAATTACTCCTTTGATCTCCCACCAAATGCAAAGCATCACTTTCTGCAGATGGAGTCCAGGTTTTGGTGTCGGAAGTGGTTTTTCTCTAGG